CTACACAATAAAACATTAACAATGTCCAGGATATGATTTAAAAACTACTCGGCATAAAAGGATCCAGGAAAATGTGACTCATTCTCAGGGGCAGAGATGCCAGTCCAGAGATGACATAAAAGTTGAAATTATTAAACAAGGACTTTAAGGCAACTATTATAACTATGCTCAAGGAAGTAAGAGGAGATATACTAAATGTGAATAAAAAGAGAAAATCTTAGGATAGAAATAAAAATAAATAGAAATTTTATATCTGAAAAATACAATACTTTGGCTACAAAACTACAAAAACTACAAAACTTTGGCTAACAGAATGGAGAGGTCAGTGAATTGGGAGATAAAGCAACAGAAATTATCCAATAGTTAAAAGAAAAAGAAAAAAAGTTGGGAGAAGTGGCACAGGGAACAGCCTTACAGCCTTATAAAGCAGTATCACAGCTTTAACATACAGATAAGTAGTATTCCAAAACAAGAGGAGAGAATGGGATGGAAAATATACCTAAAGAAATGATGTCTGGGAACGCCTGGGTGGCTTAATTGGTTGAGTCTAACTTCATCTCAGGTCATGATCTCAAAGTTTGTAAGTTTGAGCCCCGCAGCTCAGAGCCTGGAGCCTGCCTTGGATTCTGTGTCTCCCTCTCTCCCTGCACCTACCCTACTTGCTCTTGCTCTCTCTCTCTCTCTCTCGCTCTTTCTCTCTCTCTGTCTAAAAAATAAATATGATTTTTAAAAATTTTTTAAAAAGAAGAAATAATGTCTGAAAACATCTCAAACTTGAAGAGATACATAAATTTACAGAGTCATGAAACTCAGGACATTCTAAGCAGGATAAAGCCGAAGAAAATCACATGTAAGCTACTGGAAATCAAAAACAAAGATAAAATACTGAGAGCCGACAGAGAAAAACATTGTTCCTAGGGAAATAATTCAAATGACCATAAACCTCCCATCAAAAACCACTGAAACTGGGCACCTGGATGGCTCAGTGAATTGAACATCCATCTCTTGATATAGGCTCAGGTTATGATCTCAGGATCCTAGGATTGAGCCCCAAGTCAGGTTCCTCATTGAGCACAGAGCCTACTTGAGATTCTCTCTCTCTTCTCCTGCCCCTCTCCCATGCTTTCTTTCTCTCCCTCCCTCCCTCTCTCTCTCTCTCTCTCTCTGCCAAGATAGTGAAAAGAAGATTTATAATATCAAAAAAAAAAAAAAAAAAGCAAAGAACTGTCAACACAGGATTATATATCTAGCAAGCATATTCTTTTTAAATGAGGGCAAACTAGGGCACGTGGGTGGCTCAGGCATTTGACTTTGGCTCAGGTCACATTTTCGCAGTTTGTGAGTTCGAGCCCAGCATCAGGCTTTCTACTGTCAGCACAAAGCCTGCTTCAGATTCTCTCTCCCTCTCTCTTTCTCTCTGTCCCTCCCCCACTAGCTCTCTCTTTCTCAAAAATAAGTAAACTTTGCTTTGTAATGAAGGCAAATTTAAGACATAATCAGATAAAGGAAAACTAAAAGAATTACTGACCAGCAGACTAGAACTGTAAGAAATGCTAAAGAAATTTCTTCAAACTGATGGGAAATTGTACAAGAGGAAAACCTGAATTTTTAGGACTGAATGAAGATCAGAACTGGCAAATATCTGGGTAAGTTTTAAGGGCCATTTTTTTAGTCTTTTTTTTTTTAATTGTATGAAAATCACACGGTCTTGTGGCGTGTTTGTATCTAGATGGAACACATATGACAAGAACCAAAAAGACAGGGATGGGGTAGGTCAGGTAACTATGTCAGGGTTCTGCATGTTAGAAGAACTAGTTCAGTATTAACTCTAGACTGTTAAACGTCAAGAATGTATATTGGAATTCTTAGGTAGTTTTTTTAAAAACTAAAAAATAGTTATTTAAAGTAATGCAAAGAGTGTAATGAGAAAGACAATAGACAGTAAAATGGAATACAAAAAATTACTAAATCTTAGAAAATACTTTAGGCTAAATAATAATTAAAATACAACATCAAAATGTGTAGGGTGTTTTAAAAAAAATTAAAAAAATTAAAAAAAAAGGGGGCGCCTGGGTGGCTTAGTCGGTTAAGCGTCCGACTTTCGCTCAGGTCATGATCTCGCGGTTCGTGGGTTCGAGCCCCGCGTCGGGCTCTGTGCTGACTGCCAGCTCAGAGCCTGGAGCCTGTTTCAATCTGTGACTCCCTCTCTCTCTGACCCTCTCCTGCTCACGCTCTCTCTCTCTCTCTCTCTCTCTCCTAGAAATAAATAAAACATTAAAAAAAAAAATGTGTAGGGTGCCGCTAAAGTAGAGATCAAAAGGAAAAGAACAGCTTAAATGTTTAAATCAAAAAGAAGAAAGGTCTAAAATCAATAACCTAAAGTTCTTCATTTAGAGTCTAGAAAAAGAGGAGTAAAGTACACCCAAAGTAAACAGAAGGATGTAAGTATAAGGATATAAATCAGAAAAATAATTGAGAAAATTAACAAAACCAAGAACTGGTTCTTTAACCAAATTTTAACAAAATTCAGAAAAGCCCTACCTAAACTGTTTAAGAATAAATGAAAGAAAACAAAATCACCAATATCAAGAATAGAAAAGGGCTTTTCAGTACAGGCCCTAAAGATAGTAAGAAAATATGATAAACAACTTTATGTCAACAAATTTAGCAACTTAGATAAAATGGTCAAGTACCTGAAAATTTCAATTTACCAAAATTAGCATAAGAAACAGAAAATCTTAACAATAGTATATTAAATAAAACTTATTCATTATCAAAAATCTTTCCACAAATAAGCCTCCAAGCACAGATGGTTCTCTCAAACACTCAAGAAAGAAAGAACACCAAATTTACACCAATATTTTCAGGAAACAGAGGAGGAAGGAACTTATTTTCTGAGATTTACATCACCATAATACCAAACCTCACAAAAGCATTTATGAAAAGGGAAGTTATGTCACCCATATCCCTCATGAATATAGATGCAAAAATCTTTAATAAAATATTAGCATGTCATATCCAAAAATATATCTTTTAAGTATAATATATTCTGATCATACAGACTTTGTCCTGAGGTTGGAAATTGATTTAACATTTGACAATCAGTATAGTTCACAGTATTAACAAAAAATAGAAGAAAACAAATTATCATTTCAATAGGTAGTGGAAAAGCATTTGACAAAATCCAATACTCATGCATGATAATAATAAAGAAATAACTCTGGGCAAATATGCTTCATAAGGAACATCTTCAATCTGATTAAGAGACTGTACCAAAACCTTACAGCTTCACATTATATTTTTGCTTTCCTGCTGAAATTGAGAACTAGGCAAAAGTGCCTCAACTCTGACCACATCTGTTCAATATTATACTGGAAGTCTTAGCCATTGCAATATGGCGAGGAAAAGAAATTAAAGGAATAGATTGGAAAAGAAAAAGTAAACCTGTTCCTATTTGCAGATGACATGATTTTTAGGTCAAAAATCCCAAGGAATCTACAAAATGATTACTAGTGCTAATGAATGACTTATCAAGATTGTACAATACGAGTTAACATCAAAATCAACTGTATTTTAATATGCTAGTAAAAGACAATGGGAAAATAATGCCCCAAAAAGACATAAAATACTTGAGAATTAACCTGACAAAAGATGTCTGAAATCTCTACACTGAACTTTACAAAACAATGCTAAGAGAAATTAAAGGCCTACATAAAATTCTAAACCATGCTTGTTAACTAAATGACTCAACATTGTTAAAACGGCAATTCTCCCCAAATAGATTTATAGAATCCATGGAATCTGAATCAAAATTCCAGCAGACATTCTTTTTTATAGAAATAGCAAGCTGATTCTAAAACGTATTGCACAAATTCAAATAACTTTAAATAGTTTAAATGATTTAAAAAACTGGAGGACCTACACTACTCAATTTCAAAACTTATTATAAATCTACAGTACGGTAATCAAGGCAAAGGTCCTGGTAGATCATTATGCTGCATAAAGGAAACCAGACACAAAACAGTATAAATTCTAGAAAAGGCAACCTATTCTGAGTTGTCACATAGCAGATGAGTAGTTTGTTGGGTCACGTAGGAGCAGCTGAGAACAGGGGTTGGATATCAAAAGGAGCAGTTCTAAGGAGAACTGAAAAGATTCAGTTCTAAGGAATTTAAGTTAAAATTTGGGGGGGAAGGGTTCAGTCATCTTGATTGCAGTAATTTTCAAAGGTGTACACATCTGTCAAACTGTACACCTGTACACTACACTGCAATACAGTATACTGTTATCTGTACTTCTGTGTGGTTAGTGGAATTTAAATTATACTCTCATAAAGCTGTAAATAGGAAAACCCAATTTGTTGAACTTTTATATTTGAATGTTGAATAATTAAAAGAACTATTGAACTCCTTTAAACTCCTGCTGTGACAGTCGGCAATAGTTCCACTGTGGATCTGTGTGGCCTTTGAGGCTAGATAATCCTTACATTAAGCCTACAGGGTCCGGCAGCCCACCAAAGAGCTTTCAGGTCACACGCAGGAAACAGCTTACTATTCCGAAATGAGACGCACTGACCTCAGTGGGGGAGTCCACCTAATGGTGCTTAAGGTTTGCCCTAAACAACCTGCCCCTGTCAAGGACACAGGAAAGGTCAGGCAGTTGGAAATTAAATTCGCTCCACTGTGACCTTTCTCCCTCCCCACAGTCCCTTGGACTCCTCCTTGGCTTTTCCTTCCTCACTCCTTTTCCTTTCCCCACAGCCTGGTCCTCACACTCTATCTTTCCCTTCCACCAGGTTTTCACTCTTCCCGACGGCATCCCAGCTCCTACTCCAGCCCCAATCCTTTCTTCAATCCCAGCCCTATTTCCTACCCTGATACTCTCAGAAATTAGTGTGGATTAAAGAGGCGGAAGGGGAGACGTAGCTCCGCCCAAACATCGCAGGCTCGCCTTCCCACAGCCTCCCAGACGGAGTCTCCCGCCCCCAGTGCGCCTCTCACCCGCCGGCGGGGACGCCCCTGCTCCCCCGTAAGTGGCGAGAAGTTTGGCGCTGCTGCGGCCGGGCGGTGAACCCAACCCGCCTTCCTGGGGCGGAGGGGCCGGTGGGCTCTGACGGCTCCCACGCGAAGGAAGAACGCGCCCCGTTGCTCGGTAACGAGGCGCGCGTCCTGCTCGGGACCGGCGCCCAGGAGTCAGGTGAGCCTTTGTGGATCCCTCCGCGCTACCGGTCGCAGCCCGCGCTTTCTGCCTAGCAAAAGCAGCTGCAAGAGCGCCGTTGGATTGGAAGCCCAAACCCCACGCTGAGCGACCTCTGCTTTCCGGTCCGTGAGCTTGCTGGTCCCAAAGAGCCTCCTGGACTGGAGTTTCCCAGATCGCCAGTTTTGCCCAATTGAACTAACTGCTTACTTGTCACTCATGTTCTTTATATATTTAAACGAATAATGCTGAACTGGGAAATTTAAAACAGTTTTTTGGTAGGCTTTTAATCTGTTTGTGTGCACTACATGCCAATTAAGACTGCATTTCAGGGGTATTTTCCATGCTCTCCATCTAGAGCACAACTCATAAAAAGAATCTTGAAATCAAAGGCGTGAGATTCAGAATTCTGGAGAGTTCCTACTAAAATCCTGGATTCAGCATATTCAGAGTGCCTGATGTCCAAGATGAGAAAGGTTGTAAGAAGCAATAATTGGTATTATCTATTAAAGTTGAATATATACCTACTCGATGGCCCAGCCATTCCACTCCCAATAGAAATGCTTGTGAACAGGCACCAGGAAACATGTACACCAATATTCATAGTAGTTTCATTCATAAGCTTAAAACTGGTAAGGATCCAAATGTCCATAAAAAGTAGGCGCATAATGGGGCACCTGGTTGGTTCAGCCAGTTAAGCCTCTGACTTGATTTCTGCTTAGGTCATGATTTCATGGTTGGTGAGATTGTGCCCTGTGCTGATGATTTGGAGCGTGCTTGGGATTCCCTGTGCTGATGGTTTGGAGTCCGCTTGGGATTCCCTGTGCTGATGGTTTGGAGCCTGTTTGGGATTCTCTCTCTCTCTCTCTCTCTCTCTCTCCCTCTCTGTCTCTCTCTCTCTCCCCTTCCCTCCCTCCCTCCCCCACCCCTCCCCTGCGTTTGTTCTCTCACTCTCTCAAAATAAATGAATTTTTAAAAATCTTTTAAAAAGTAGAGTGCAGGGTTGCCTGGGTGGTTCAGGCGGTTAAGCATCCAACTTCGGCTCAGGTCATGATCTCAAGGTTCCTGAGTTCGAGCCCCGCTTAGGGCTCTGTGCTGACATCTAGCACAGAGCCTGGAGGCTATCTTCGGATTCTGTGACTCCCTCTCTCTCTGACCCTCCCTGCTCATGCTGTCTCTATCTCTCTCTCAAAAATAAATTTTTAAAGAACTTTAAAAAAATAAAAAGAGTGCATAAATTCATTGTGCTATATTCATACAATGCAGTACTAAACATGAAGGGCATGAACAACCATCTATGTGTGGGAAACAACATCGATCAATCTCTATGAGCTAAGATGCCAAACATAAGGAGTATGCACTTCCACTCATTTAACATTTAAAAACCAAGACAGCATGGATGCATGCTCAGCTGATGTATTACAAAGAAATTTAAAAAAAAACGTAATAAGAGCCAAAATAGTAGTCAGCTTGGGAGTGGGGAAGGTGATGGTGTTTAGGGGACACTCACAAGGAGTCCTGGGGTACTAGCACTGTTTTGTATTTTAACCTTGTTGACAGCTGCTGGAGTTTTCTCTTTGTGATAAACCACTGTTTTTGTTTTGTTTCTTTTCCTATGTTATGTTTCACCATTGTTTAAAAGAACCAAAAGAGGAACCAATTAAGTGCTTTGCTCAGTGCCTGGTACTTAATGGCCCTCAAACGTTTATTTTATATTTCTCTACTTTCTACCAATGTCTCTCTTTCCAAATACTCAGGCAACTAATAAATGAGATGAGCAAAGTGGCAGATAAAACCTTCTGGAAGTCCTGTATGAGAATGATGCTTCCCGGAAACTCAAGATAAAAGCATGCCCTGCTGCACAGCTCCCTGGTGCTGAGCCTCAGAGCAGCCCTGTTGCGGAAACCATGCGCTCAAGTATCCTCAGGCCTCCCTGAGGCAAGCCCCCACTCTAGAGGCACAAAGGGCCAGGGAGGGACCCCAGCCTTGCCAACGGCGCCAGTCACTTTGCTCCCCAAGTTTCTGCAACCTGCTCTGTGAATGAAGATGATAATCTTACTTGGAAGGTTTGCTGTCTTACCACCCAACATAATGGATTCAGAATGACTGCTGAGGGTGCACAGGATGAGAAGCATTGGATGGTAGATCTTTCTCTGTAGATCTCTCTGTAGTCACCTGAGGTTTCACTGCACCCCCCACTGCCTCATGGATACTTCTTGAGGGCAGCTTCACTCTAAGTGTACAAGTAACCTTACTGTCTAAAGGACAATAAGAACATTATTTTCTTATGCTAACTAAAATAGGAAGCAAATAACCAAAGTGCTTAGTGCAAATTGTTCTTGGTGCCATCCTGGATACTGCTTAAAAATAATATATAGGCCGTGTGCCTAAAATGGGAAAAATGTTAAATTATTGTAGCCCTGAAATATGACTACCATATGGTCAGGAAGCAATTTAAACGGTAAATGAATATTGTTCATTAATACCTTTTATAATACAAAATGGTAACTAAGTGTTCAGATATCCATATCTTAGGATAATACAATCCATGAGCTAGATGCTATTAGCTTCATTTTACAGGTAAGGCACTGATGTTCAAAGTCAGTAAGGATTTGCCTCGGGTCTCCTAGCTAGTAACCAGTTCTGTGCTAGGAACTCTATTCTAGAAAGGAAGGGAGGGAGGCAGGGAGGGAGGAAAAAGGAGAGGAATGGAGGTAAGAAGGAAGGAAAGAAGAGCAGGGGAGGAAGGAGGAAGGGAAAGAGAGAGGAAAAAGAAGAGGAGGAGAAGGAATAGTAGTTACTGATCTAACGGCATTTCAAATTCATTGTTGATATTGTAATGCCTTCATATGAAAATGTTAATACTTTGGGTCCTATCTTCTAGAAAAGGGCATTAGACTCAATGGGCAGCATACAATTACTCAAACAATCACTGAAACAGTATGATTTCATCTACTTTTTGTCACTCTCAAACCACCACCCTGCCAGTCCTCTGGTCATCTAGATTTGGAGCCTCCTATTGGATTCACAGCACGGCAAGCAAAGGACAACCCCAAAATTCAGTTTCTGTACCTGCAAAGTATCTTCACAGAACAAATTCCAAACAAAGCTCTCCAAAGAGAATTCAAGTTTCTTCATAATTAGGGCCTGCCCAAAAGTCTTTCTAGAAAATGAAGAATTAAAATTGTATCTTCAGCTTCTGCGCAGCAAATGAAACAATCAATAAAATTAATAGGCAGCTGACTGAATGGGAAAAGATAGTTGCAAATGACATGTCAGATAAAGGGCTTGTATCCAGGGGGCCTGGGTGGCTTAGTCAGTTAAGCGTCTGACTTTCGCTTAGGTCATGATCTCGCGGTTCATGGGTTCGAGCCCCGCGTCGGGCTCTGTGCTGACTGCCAGCTCAGAGCCTGGAGCCTGTTTCAGTCTGTGACTCCCTCTCTCTCTGACCCTCCCCTGCTCACACTGTCTCTCTCTCTCTCTCTCTCTCTCCCTCCTAGAAATAAATTTTAAAAAACATTAAAAAAAAAAGGGGGGGGGCTTGTATCCAATATCTATAAGGAACTGATCAAACTCCACACCCAAAAAACAAATAATACAGTGAAGAAATGGGCAGAAGACATGAACAGACACTTCTCCAAAGAGGACATCCAGATGGCCAACAGACACATGAAATGATTCTCAGCATCCTTCATCATCAGGGAAATACAAATCAAAACCACAGTGAGATACCACCTCATGCCAATCAGAGTGGCTAAAATGAACAAGTCAGGAGACTAGATGCTGGCGAAGATGTGGAGAAACGGGCACCCTCCTATGCACCAGCAAACTGGTGCAACCCCTCTGGAAAACAGTGTGGAGGTTCCTCAAAAAATTAACAATAGAATTCCCCTATGACCCAGCAATACCACTGCTAGGAATTTACCCAAGGGATTCAGGAGTGCTGATGCATAGGAGCACATGTACCCCAATGTTCATAGCAGCACTCTCAACAATAGCCAAAACATGGAAAGAGCCTAAGTGTCCATCAACTGATGAATGGATCAAGAAGATGCAGTTTATTTATACAATGGAATACTAGATGGCAATGAGAAAGAATGAAATCTGGCCATTTATAGCAACATGGATGGAACTTGAGGGTGTTATGCTGAGCAAAATAAGTCAGGGAGAGAAGGACAAATACCATATGTTTGCATATATAGGTGAATTAGGAGGAAGTTAACAGAGGATGATGCGGAAGAAGAAGGGGAACATAGTTGGGGAGAAGGAGGGAGACAAACCATGAGAGACTCTTGAATGCTGAGAACAAACTGAAGGCTGATGGGAGTGGGGGAGAGGAGATGGGGGGTGATGGGCGTGGGGGAGGGTACTTGTTGGGATGACCACTGGGTATTATATGTAAACCAACTTGACAATAAACTAGTTTAAAAAAATAAATAAATAAAATTTAAAAAAATTATATCTTGACTTTGTATTATGTATGAAAATAAATTCCAATTGAATGCAAGATTCTGTTATATGTAAGAATAGCAGGTGTACTTAAGACATATAAGCATTAAACCATAAAAGGCAAGAGCTTGATTTAAAATATTGGCAGATTTCTTTAAAGCATCTATGCATTGAAAATAAACAAAATTAGGGGTGCCCCAGTGGCTCAGTTGGTTAAGTGTCCAGCTCTTGGTTTCAGCTCAGGTCATGATCTCATGGTTTGTGAGTTCCAGCCCCACATCTGGCTCTGCTGACAGTACAGAGCCTGCTTGGGATTCTCTCTCTCCCTCTCTCTCTCTCTGCCCCTCCCCTGCTCACTCACTCTCTTAAAATAAATAAATAAACTTTAATTTTTTTTAAT